ATCAATTATTCGGTGGAAACGAGAAAGCGAAACGATGAATATAAGAAATGAAGCTCTGCAAAATGCTTCAAATAAACTAAATATCCAAAATATTTTCGCGAAACGAGCAAGCAGCTACAAAACTGGACAGAAGAATAGACTTAAAAAGGTGTATTCTAAGCAAATAAAGTATAATCATGCATATGTTGGCAAACATTAAATGAACCAGTATAACATATAGCAAATTAGTATATGATATGACTATAAAATTTAAAAAGGATGAGAAAAAAGACAAATAATAATGATATAAATATGAAAATAAAAGGAGGACAAAATAATAAATCTGAACACGCGACATCTCACAGATGTCCCCAACAAGTGGGCTAATAATAAACATTAAATAAGGAAAATAAAATTTTTGTTGTTGAAACTTTTCAGAATAACAGTCTTTACCTCGGTCCCCGAGGCACCGGACGACCCCCGGTCAATTCATCCAACATGCCTACAGTCTCTTTTACAGACACATCTGCAGGACAATGTGTCACCAACGAGGGCATTTCGCCTTGACAATGAAACAATCCAAACTGAAACAAGCCAAATTAGACCACTTATGCTGAGAGCGGTAGAGAGTTGGTCTAAGCGGAAGCACTCGTCCAGTAAGATGGAAATGAAATGTTATTAAGAAACCCATGGCACAGGCGGAATAAAATCTTGCTCTTATTCAAGCCCCCTTTTTGCAAATCCTGTACTTCCATTTTTTACTTAATCTTTGCATATTTCCGCTGAATACCTACTCGGCAATTGTTGCAGGCTGAGTAGTATATCTGTACGAAATATATTCATCCTATTTCGTATCAGATGATAAGGGGACTGGCAGTTGAATCTCCCAACAATGATGTGAGTGGAACTAACATTTCCATTCAATTTCACATAGCCTTGCCTTCCAAAAAGTTATTCTCATCCAGGCAGGAGTGGACTGTCCTTTTGACATCGCCCAGGCCTTACCAACACCCTAAGCGGGACTCTAACCCATTTTGTGATGGTCCGGCGTATAATCCCGCATTGACACCAATGCCTTTGGGTCACCGGACATATGTGAGTTGCAAGAAAGTCAGGACATTTTTTCC